CCTCATCCCATTTTTGTATCATTGGGCCTTTCACTTCTCAATTCCAAATCCTCATAGCACCAAATACCTCCGTCTTACCTTGGTAACTCGAGCGTCGAGTCCGCACACCTTGAATAGTTAGCAACGGGATACGACTGGGTATCCCCTTGCGTATTGGCTGGACGCGCCCTAAACAAATTTGCAACCGTGTTTTGAAGAACCTCTCTCTGTGTCGCTTGCGGAATGTTTGTGAATTTTATGGAGCACGAATCTACGTATTTCGGCTAACGGCATATCGACGAGAAAACCTTGACGGAAGTTTTCAAGAGTCAGATAGTTTGTGATTGCGCTATCCTCGTAGCATGCAATGTCGATGTAAATGTTGTCATCGTCGTCTTCAAAGGCATTTATGTGATGAAATCTATGAATGCAAAAAGTGTTATTATGAATAGAAGAGAAACGAATTATGGAAAGGGAAAAATTTGCATTGGTCTGTTAGCATCAACTAGCTCGAAGTTAATATAGAATTCTTACGCGAAACAAGAGTCTGATTTATATGTCGCGACATGCTGTTTTTTGGCTCTTGATATAACGTAGAAAAGGGTAGGTTCATCTGGACGAAATACAAACGCATCCAAAATGTTATCAACCCATTTAACATTTAACCCGGCGTTCTTGGCGTAGAATGGGTAAAGTGTCTATAATAATTCCAAAGTTGTTAGCTAAGAAAAAATGTGAATTCGCACACACGTATATCTGTTACACCTTGACCAACCACCACCGAAAAAGTTCACACAAGCCCTTTATATGCTTTGTTTGTTTCCATTTCCTTCTTCACAACCTTACCAACACTTTCTCGCCACGAGTCGCTCAATGACCTTACATACCAAGATAATGAAACGCGGAGTAACTGCAAAACTGTGCACGTACGATGACTTGGCGGTAACGCTTGCGATAAGTTCTCCTTTTGGATTTTTTTGGGAAATCATAAAAAAGTTGTATTTGGTTCCTAACGCGTGGTATTCCATGTTAAAGTTTATTAACTCTCCTCTCGTAGCGTCGTAGTGCGAATGGGGTCCAGCATGTACGCCTTGAAAAGATGGGTTTAAGTCGTTCCATGTCCACAAACGCGTCGGCGTCAGGTCGTGAGCATCCAGTTCTACGACCTTTAGCGTAAAAAATAAGACAAATGAAGCAAGAATCGTACCAGCATGATCTTTTTGGAAAACTCCATAATATAGTAACGTGGTAACATGAACCTGTGCTTGCGATAATTACCTGGGTTGAATGATTCTGACAGAATACCTTGGGCCGTTCTCCCGGCACGTTTAGCGGAAAGTTAACATGGATGCTTGCACTACAGGGTTCTTGTTCCGGTTTTGTGGGACGCCTCTTGACCATTAGCTTTGCTAACGGAGTTTGACTAAAAAGAGATAGACATCAATACAACTTTTTAGGTAATCCGACTGTCCATGATCAAATAACATGTCAATGAATAAACTCACTTTGCATGAGTCTTAAACAGTGAGTAAGGATGCGTGGTGATAATTCCGTGTCTGTCGCGTATTTTTTCTTCTTGTTTCTTGGCGATCAATCTCGACCGATAAGTTAATTTGTTATTTGTTCCATCCAATATAAAGCGATTTAGCAGTGGAAGACTACGTCGAACAATTGAATCGGTAGATGAGGGTGACGTGAATGAGGAGGATTGTCAATCTTTGTTTCCAAAATAAAAAAAAAAAGTATATATATTTTTTCTTTAATGAACATACCCATCGAACCAATGACCCAATGAAAATGTAGCTGTACCGCTCTCATATTGTCCATTCCCAATTTCTATCATCTTGTTATATTTAACATCGTAAATCCCAGGTCCAAGGGTGAATAGTTCACCGTTCAGCCATGTGGGAAGTTCGCCGGTCACGACCAGCTCTGCTGGTTGTAAAGTTTCTTTTGCATTTTGGAATCCCTATAAGCCGCAGATATCAAATATCATCAAACAGGTTTACTATTACACGCCAAATGCTTTCTGTTGACTTGATGACCACTCGGATTTTTGCATATTTTTCTTTCATACCCTTATATAATACAGATCAGACTTTATAATTTCCACTTGGTGTCTTGCTTCGGGGCCAGTTACTTTGAGTTCTGGTATTGGGAGGGGTTGTTCCGAGAAATCTCGAAGCTCAACGTCTGTTCCTTTTTCCCCCATAGTGACTTGAGGTAAGCGAAAGAGTTTTAGGTTGGTCGAGTGGCGAAATGACTGGTTTTTAGATTTTGTTTGATTGGATAGATGTGTGTGGCACTTGGAATGAATTAAAATGTGTTATCCGATCATTTTCATAATTAATTAGCATCACACTGATGCGATACTCTCCTGTTGTCAATGAAATGACACTGCCACATTACCCCGCCCATCTCCAATGTACACTGCCTCACATTGCAGGGTTTATACATCGTGAGACATGGAGAATGCTTGGCAGAAAGTTTAAAATTGTGGCTTTTTGTTTTCGAAAAAAAGAATTTCAATTCGTATTTAGCAATGACGCTCGAATTACCTTTTATGGTAAGCCGTAGTATGGCATTATAGTAGTATTAAGACATTATTGCCAGATCGGGAGAGGCTCACACCAAATGCGATGCTGTGCTCCAGAGGAAAGGTTCTGTTAATCTACCGAAAGCGATGGCACGCATATGCAACCTACTCTTACCAGAAAGCAGACATGCGTTTGACAGTGCGCACTATGCTTGCTGACGCAGGATACTATAAATTATAGCTTTCATTGTTCCCG